AGTGCTTTAACCCGCTGTGCCACCAGGAAGGGCCATGTACCACATCTTTTTAATTCAGTCATCTACTTTTGGTCAGTGTGAGTTATTTTTAACTATGACTTGAAGATCACTGATTGAGGCTATTAGTAATTAGCACCTTGCTTTTATATTTGTGTTCCAAGTGCTTAATCATCTGATCAGTTCTGCTGCTGATACTCAGTAGTATTTGGAGTGATGGGATTAATTGACAACATCTTCCTCTTCCTTCCAGTGAACCCTGCTTATATGGGTGAAATTAACTTCGACCAAGCTAATAGGAACCCACCAGCGTCTGGACATGATTGGCTTAAGTCACCCCAAGGTAAGGCATAAGGGGACAGTGACCAAAAACATCAGCCTTGGAGAAGGAACATGTTCAAAGCGATGCAGACTTTGCCATTTCCTCTGGGCTTCAGGTGTCATTTGTGTAACTGACATGGTATTTGTGTATCGTCAGGATGGGGTTTTCTTTTAGACACGTGGAGTTGCTCTTCCAGATATCAAGGTGTTTTCTTGGACTCTTTTGGTTGCAAGTGGCAGGAACCCAGCACACACTGGCATACGTCCAAGGAGAATTTATTGGCTTGTGTGGCAGGAAATATATGGGAGAAATGAAGAATTTGAGGTACAATCACCCTCTGGCATCTGGCGTAGCCCGTAGCAGAGGGAACGTGCTCCAGATGTGCTTGTAGAAGAACTGGGGGCCAGGATTCAGTGCCAGCTGGACTCTCTTTTTCTCCATCTCTCTCTTCTCTACTCGACTCAGCTTCTCATAAACGTCACCCCATTTGTCTCAACCCCAGTCAAGCCTTCTCCAAAGTCCAGGTGCAGAGATGTACCTGCAGCTGGGCCCAAGAGTCCACTACAAAGTCTCTCTTTCTCCTGAATCAACGCCAAGCAAAGACTCTAACCAGCCCTGGTTGAAGCACAACCACGTGGACTGAGTGTTTTACCATAAGAGAGAAGACAGGTCTATCCCCTCACGGGTGAGAGGATTCACCAAAGACAGAGTGTGGAG